CACTACTTTTCACCCATTGCATCTTTAGCACAGAGCAAGTTTGTGAAGCAGCACCTCTGAGAGTTTTCATCAATAACAGATATCTGTCAACTGAGGTGACTGACCCTTAACCAAAGCTGAGCATGTGATCAGAGCTTAGCAAAGGGGAATCTTGTCCTGTGAAAATTAGATCTCAAGCCATGTGACAGAAGGACCCTGCAACTCTCTGAATGTTTATGTTGGCTCTTAATCTCCAAAGTGATAGAATCAAGAGGGCCTTTAAGAAGTGACTAGGTCTCCTGAATGGGATTAGTGCCCTCATAAAAGGGCCTAAAGGAGCGTGCTTGCACCTTCTGCCATGTGAGGACATGTAGAATGCATCATTTATGAAGAACAGACCCCCATTAACCCTACTGACACCTTGATCTTAAACTTCCTGCCTCCATAATTGTGAGCAATGAAATTCTGTCATTCATTTTAAGGTATTTTGTTACAGCAGCCTGAATGGACTAAGATAACTCCCAGTGGCAAAGCAAGTTCATCCTAAAGGGCAGGACCGCCCATTAATTCCTGTCCCTGGATCTCTGGAGCTGCCCTAGTCCTGTCCTTGCTGAGGGCTCTTCCTGTGATTCTGGGGCTACTGTATGGCCTTTAATCTACTTCTGGTCTTCAATTATCCAGAGCTCATTTTCCTGGTTTGCAACCAAAAAGCTCCTAGTGATAGAAGTGTTTGCAATTATTTGAGGTCTTCCTGTTTCTTCACTGTGCTTCATCCACTCCTCTTTTCTGCTGCCACATATCAGTGCTCCATAGATACTCCACAGATGTGGCTCCTCAAATATTGGGCACCAGATTGTTAGGCTCTGAAGTCCACTTTGCCAGCCTCCTTTCAAATACCTGAGCATCCACCTGTGCTTCTCTTGATTCCATTTTCTTTGCAAGTTACAGTTGATATTAATTTTTCTATCACTTTGGGATGACAGGGCACATTTTACTGCCTTTTGGAGAACAGCTGAAACTCTACCATTATTTATTTACTTAAACAGAAACCAGCTAAACGAGAATGAGATCGGCCTATCAGAATCCCTTCCACCTGGCCTCCCTCTGACAGCAGGTGACCTTTGGGTGAAGTTGGCACACTTGGCTAGAGATAGGATTCCCAATTGGGTGACATTTTCAGCATACAGCAAGTCTTCGTGAGGCGGTATCTCTGAGAGTTTTTATCTCTCCTCCTTCTTCTTCCCTCCTTCCTCCCTCTCTCCATTTTCCAGTCTCTATATCTGCCTCTCAGGGCTAATATGGTTCTGCTGACCCTCATTAGTCACCTATCTTTGAAAGACTGAGGTTTCCCTCCTCAGGACAGTGACTCTGGGGAAAGCTCAGAGGGAGTCCCTGAGTCAGGATGAATACAGACAGTCCTTCCCCTTGGCTCTTAGCTGGGGTTATAGGCTTGATGGCCTTAAGCAATGACAGGGATGACTTTGTTTGCACCCACCCTGAATCATCAGTCGGTCCAGAATCATCTCAGAGCAGAGCATAACAGTTATACATGTCCTTCTGGAGGGTACCCTCTAGGTCTTTTTCCTCTTTCCATCTTGGCTGATGGAATCAATTAATTGTTGATTGGAGTATGGCAGAGCACACACACCTGCTTAATTTTAACCTCTTACCAGCACCAGGACACAAGTGTCATCAAAGCAAAGTGGGAAAGGAAGGATTCCAGGAGCTTCCTGAAGAGGAAGATTTCCTAGTATGTGACCTCTTACTGTCAGCCTGGGCTCTGAGTGTGAAGTCCAGTTCTGCAACTTAACTGTAAATTTAGGCAAATTGCTTGTGTGTTGTGAGCCTCAGCTACAAAGTGGTGATAATATTAGTATCTATTTCATAGGATTTTTTATGATGATTAACCGAGATAAAACTTAACAAGTGCCCAGCCTGGAGACTGGCACATGGTAAAAGTGCAATAAATATAAGCTATTGTTACAGGTAGTAAAATCATCATTAACTCGTCTCTGGGGGAAGAGCAATCTGTGTGCATTTGGCTAGCATTGAGACCTTCTGGAAACAAAGGCTGCAGGAGTACTTCCCTCCTGGGAAGTCAGAACTGGAGATCACAGTGGACCCCTTAAATGGCAATAGAAGCCAGCATAAGACAGATCAAAGCCATTGCACAAGCCATGTGATTTAGAACTCACCCCAGGGAGAAGAAAAAGGAGAGTGGGAACTCTTAAGTTTTGGGGTAGAACATATTCATACCTGCTACACCCCTAAGTTTGTCCTGGTAGAACTGAAGCAGAGATGCAGAACCATTTGGCATATGGAGCAAAGCAGCTCACCTCCAACCCCTCACTCCATCCTTCACTAGCACCCTTCTCTGCTGGAGGGAAGAAAGAAAGTGTGGTTGGAAGAGTGGCAGGTGCTGCTGGAAAGGTCTACGATCCCTGACTTCCTCTGCGGATGGCTTCTGTTGGTGGCATTGGAGCAGGAGGCTGGCCCAGGGGTGCCTGGGGGTGACTGACTTGCCAGTAGAACATAGGTGTTATGGCTTGGATGTGGTCTGACCCCACCAAAATGCATGTTGAAATTTCATGTCAACGTAGCAGTGTTGGGAAGTGGTGCCTTTAAGGAGGATTTACTATCTTTCTTGTGAAACTGGATCCGTTCCCTGGAGAGTGGGCTGTCATAAAGTGGGTCAGCTCCTTTGTCCTCTCCCTCTATTCCACTCGCTCCCACTCACCACTCTCCCACATGCTTCTGCCATGTGATGCTATCTCCATGGAACGACACAGCATGAGGCCCTTGCAAGATGTGGCCACGCGGTCCTGAACTGCTCTGCCTCCAGAACTGTGAGCTAAATAAACTTCTGTATTAATTATTCAGTCTCAAGTTATTTTGTTACAGCAACAAAAACAACAGTAAAGCAGGTGAATACAACAGGGCAGCTGGATGAGCTGATGCTTGAGAGGCAAGTGCAATGGAAATGGAGGAGGTAGATTCCATAGATATTCCAAAGTAAAAATTGTAGGAGATTCACAAGAGTGGGAAAAGTTGGAGAGATGGGATTTTGGACCCAGATGGTGGAGAATGATGATGTAGGAGGAGGAATGGCCTGAGGGTGGGAGGACTGGTGAGTACCCTTTCATGGTGAGCTTAAGTGCTATTGGGATGTCCAAGTAGGAATATCAGGTATACTGCTGGAAATGGGATCATAGGTCTAGAGTGGTGCTTCCCAACTTTTGGATTCAAAATTATTTTACACTCTTCAAAGATATTGAGTACCCAAAGAACTTTTGACCGAATGGGTTTTTATCTATCAATGTTCATTGTATTAGACATTAGAACTAAAACACAAAGTATTTTTACATTTGCATAAAAGTGACTGTCCTAAGCTATTACACTTGAACATCAATAATATGAAATTTTCTGAAAAAAAATTTAGTGATCATTTTTATAAGTCTCTTTAATATCTGGTTTAACAAAAAGGCTTGATTCTCAGAGCTGGCTTTACATTCAGTTTGCTATGAAGTAAATTGTTTTAGCTGAAGTTTATGAAGAAAACACAGATGCACACAGAGAGGTGCTTGGACAAGTGATGACCTTACAGCAACCTCCATGAAGGATCTTAGAGTCACACTCTAGAACTGTTGGTCTAGAGAGAGGTCATGGCTTTAGATAAATGTTTTGGAGTAATTTGTTCAAAGATGATAGTTGTGATTTGAGAGTAGAAGAACTCCTTTTGGGAAAAGTGAGAAAGCAAATGCGGAGAGCCAAGATCTCTGAGCATTGGGCACACTTATCCAGTGGATCTTCATTGTTCGTGAATTCTCTATGTGCAAATTTCCCTAATTGCTAAAATTTATTTGTAACCCCCAAACTAATTCTGGTGGCACACTTTGGTGGCCCTTTACAGTAGGTGAAAATTCTGAGTCACCTGATGTGCACATTTTCAGCTAGATCTGCTGGGGATCAGAAAAATAGTTCAAAATGAAGGCCTCGTAGGCAAAAGGTTTCTCTCTGACCTTCTGTCCTCCTGTCTCTCACCCTCACTTTCCCCTGGGGCAAGTCACAGAAACTAGAATTCCTTTTCCCCAAAGCAGGTCACAAAAACCGTAGCCCCTTTGCCCCAAGGTCAGCCATAACACCTAAAAATATCACTTCAGCATTTTCCTCATCTTTCTGGATAACAACTGGCCATAAAAAATTTAAGACCCTCATTCCAGAGGGGTCCTGACTCATACCTGGAAGGAAGAAATGCTACAACTGAGAAGCCAAGAAGAATCTGGAGAGACCGAGTTGGGGTTCCCCACCTGTCTGTTTCCATCAGCTCAGACCTTTTCTGCCTATATTTTCACGGGGCTGCCCCTGCTGCATAGAGCCTGCCCCCCCCCCCCAAATGCATGCTTTTCCCCTGGGTCTTCTTCAGACTCCTTCAGTCTAAAGTGTCCCAAGTCATGTGAACTATGATCGGATACAGTCATTATATCTTCTTATAGGTCTTTGGTATAGGGGTGCCAGCTGTGACACTTTATGATGGGAAAGAAGGGGGTCACCCCTTTTCTACCCCAAAGGTCCAACAAGGTGCAGCTCCGACTTCCTGGTTCAGCTCTCAGGATGTAATCAAGTCTGTTTTCACTAGTCTGTTGAGTGTTGCTTTTCTTTCTTTCTTTCGTTTTTTTTTTTTTTTTTTACATTTTTGCTGGCGATTTAAAACCATTTCTGTTTAAATGGCCCCCACGCATGGTGCTGAAGAGCTGTAAAGAGTTCCTAAGCACAAGAAGACTGTGATACACCCTACAGCGTCTAATACATGTGTTAGGAAACTTACAGTGCTGTTGGCTGTGAGTTCAGTGTTAATCAATATTTATTAAATAAAGTGTCTTTAAACAGAAACATGTAGAAAACAAGGGTATGTATTGATCGATTGGTAAAAATGTGACCAGGGGCTCATACACTTATATATCCCACATGAGCTCGATTCCCCTATGAACTCAGGATTTGCTAATTCAGTATTTAAAGCAATGTCATGAGCAAAACTACTTTTAATAAAGACTGTACTTGGAGGAAGGAAGAGGAACTGAAATTAGTGAAGGGTGGAACACAAGGGAAAAGAGGGTAGGGGTCCACTTGTCAGACAGAGAAAGCAAAGAGGAGCTGCTGAGCCTCTTCCTTCTCCACACCACCCAGAGGAGGCTCTGTCACCCCCTTTCCCCCCTGGACAGGTTTTTCCTCGACTTTTGCCATCTCTATGATAAGTCATGCCTAAAGGCTGGTCCCAGCTGTGTAGGCGCTCCTTCCAGGGAATGTAACCAAGGTAAGGCTGCCCTCCTCCTGTAAGAAGGACCGGAAGGGAGACAGAAATACGGTAGCAAATGGCAAAGATGAGCTTATTGAAAGAGGAGTGTTCCAAGGCTTTTGCATTTTCTAAGGACAGGAGCTCTTCATTTTCTCAGAGGTAGGGGGAAAGATGAAATTTGTCTGCAAAGGTGTTCGGGGTTACAACACGGACTCTCTTAGCCAAGAATTGTTAGAAGGCAAACACCTTTCCATTAACTCCAAGCCGAATATGGCTGTAAGGGAAGGCGGGCAGAGCCTTTTCTGTTTTTATGGTAATTTGATGCAAGGTATGCTCCACCAGTCTCGCCACTCTGTGGGCTGCATAGCCACAGCACGCTTCCACCACCTGGTGACCACACACTTAAATTGCAAGGCCTGCTTCTTAGCTCAGGGAAACATCCTTTACCTTATTGGTGAAAACCTGGAATGAAGTTAGCAAACAGTTGCTAACTTATTTTTAAGTATAAATAATGTTTGATCATTCTAGCTCAACCCACAGGGATTGCTGTCTTCTCGGGATCAGTGCTCATTTTTGGAAGACACTGAGCTGCTTTTGACTTGAGGATGGGTGCTGAGTGGAAGTCAAACAACTGCTGGACAGCGGGGAGGGCCTCGCAGGTCTTCCCCTCTGGCTCCCCAGAGACTTTCAAACCAGGCCTCAGAGGCCCGGAAGCTGCAGCTCCGCTAGCCTCAGCTAGTTTTCTCCAAAGACAGAGCCTGGTTTTGCTCCATCGGTGAGATCTAAAAAGCCAAGGAAGACTTTGAAGTAAATACCCTCCTTCCTCAGGACCCTAAAATTCCTGCATTGGTAATTAACTTTATTTCCTGAGTGTTCACTTTGAAAAAGTGGACATCCATTGTGAGGAGTGAGCTGTTAAGCCATTAACACTTCAATGTGAATGACCTCGCCATCTTGGCCACTTTCCTCAGGTGGGACTCAGAATTCCTAGAAGGACTTGGAGCGGGGCTCAGGAAAGGGCCCACCCTGGAGGAGACGGCCTCTGCTGTGTTCTTTATGTTACCCTGGGGCCAACAGGGTCAGGCAGCCACTGGTAAGAGGCTGCACACGGTAACCTGGGCCTGTGGGAGTGTGGAAAAAACCCTGGGGGCCACCTGACACGGGAAGTCACGGGGTGACTACATACTAAGGACTCATATTTTGGATTCTTTGTTTTCCTGAAAAAAAGGAAAAAGTATGAGGATAATGACCGGCATTTTCATCTGACAGGACTCATGGGAACTGAATTGGGTCTGCTCCATGGAGAGGGGGCGGGTCCACTCCACTAAGCCACAGTCCCCAGGAGGCCCACTCGCCTCACATATGTTCCTGGCCTGGCTTCTAAAACCATCTGAGGTTGTGACTCTACTTTCAAACACTAATGAGAACAATTAAAACCATGATAAAAGTGATGAAAATATCAATGGCAGTTATTTAATGCTTCTACAAACCAGATACTGTGCTAGCAATATATCCACAGATTATCTCTAATTCTCACAAAACAAGGGTGTCTATATCCCCATATTAGAGATAAGAAAACCAAGTGACAAGCAGTAGTTTTTAAAAAAATTTTTTAAAAATTGCCAATGGACCTTTATTCATTTATACGTGGTGCTGAGAATTGAACCCAGTGCCTCACATATACTAGACAAGTGCTCTACCACTGAGCCATGACCCTAGCCCAAGCAGTAGTTCTTTTTTTTTTTTTTTTTTTCTGTACTAGGAATTGAACCCAGGGGCACATAACCATTGAGCCACATCCCCAGCCCTTTTTATTATTATTATTATTTTAATTTTAAGACAGAGTCTCACTAAGTTGCTTAGGGCCTCACTAAGTTGCTGCGGCTGGGTTTGAACTCATGATCCTCCTACCTCAGCCTCCAGAGCTGCTGGGATTACAGGCATGTGCCAGTGCACCGGTTACAAGTGGGAGTTTTATAGTCACCTGCTTATTTTCATATTTATGTTAGAATATTGCTGTGAGGGTAGCTGGCACACATATCCACGAGAGACACAGCTCTGAGTCAAACAAAGGTTTATTGACAGAGAATATCTGCCAGGCTGCCCTTCTGTAAGGTGCAGCAGCCTGCAGGTAAAACACTTCTTAACTATATAGTCATGTACAATGGAGTAGTTAAAAAATAACCCATCTGGTCCTGTGATTGTTACTTGACGCCTTTGTTGTGGTTTTGGTAGGTAGGGACTCTTTGGGGGCGGGCCTAATGAGAAGGTCATGCTTGGGTGCTGATTTTCAAAATGAAGGTGCTGATTTTCAAAATGGAGTTACTTTGGTCTAAGGACCTAACACTTACCATGGTAGACTTTCTTGGGTATTTACTACCCCCAGTTACTGCCAATAGATCAAGCCCACTTTCGTCCATCCTGCTTCTGCATCGTGGTCCAGCCTTCACCAAGCTTGAGCATAAACATATAACCAATTTCCTCGTTTCTTTAGGTCTTCATTTCTGGAGGTTCCTGTGTCACCTAAAACATTAAATAAATTCATATTTTTTCTCCTGTTAATCAGCCTTTTTTTTTTTTAGGTTGTAGACGGGCACAATAACTTTATTTTATTTACTTTTTTTTTTAATGTGGTGCTGAGGATCAAACCCAGTGCCTCACATGTGCCAGCCAAGTGCTCTCCACTGAGCCCCAGCCCCATTAATCAGGCTTTTGTGATAGGCTGGCTCAGCCATGAACCCAAGATGTGAAGAAAAGATATTTCTTTTCTCCTATGTCCCCATCCTCCCAAAAGTTTTCAGTATTATATTGGTCAAGAACCAACTGGGAGAAAAAAAAATCACATGGTAATCTGTATAGGGAAAGTTTAAGTATAAAAAAAATTATAAAATGGAGCAGGGTGTGGTGACATACACCTGCAATCCCAGCAACTCAGAGGCTAAGGCAGGAGGAAAGCAAATTTGAGGCGGGTCTGGGCAACATAGAGAGACCCTGCCTCACACAACACACACACACACACACACACACAGGCTGGGGATATAGATCAGAGGAAAAGCGCTCCTGGGTTCAATCCCCAGTAAAATTCCCCCAACCCCAAGTAAATTACAATATGGAATTACTGTAGTCATCCTACAATAGGATCTTGGGAGAAAGAGAACCCTAACGAATCCTCTAGAGGTGAGCAAAGACACTCAGGAAGGAGCATCCCTCCCTAAGACTGAGGTGGCAGAGAGGTTTTCTGGGTTGCTCCGGGGTAGAGCTGGGCCACAGTTACAGGACAAGCCAGGACACTACTCCTGGGTTTAGAAAGTGGAAAACTTGGGCTGGGGGTGTAGCTCAGTGGTAGAGCACTTGCATGAGTGAGGCATTGGGTTTGATCCTCTGCACCACATAAAAATAAATAAAATAAGATATTGTGTCCATCTACAACTAAATATATATTTAAAAGAAAAAATTATATTAAAATATATTTTAAAAATATATTTAAAAGAAAAAAAAAAGAAAGTGGAAAACCTTGGCAGGACTAAAAAGCAGGATCACCTCTCTGGAGAGCCGGTGAGACAAGCTGAGAAGCCAACCACGGGGATCCAAAAGGTGCCGCGGGAACTCCATAGGACCCACCGCCCTCACCAGCCGTCCTTCCCACACTGCTGGCAACCAAACCGCAGGAGCAACAGGCAGCAAAGCCCTGGAGGCACAGGAGAGCCCCTCCTGCTGCAGCGTCCCCGCAGTGCCCTCTACTGGGCAAAGCTTTTAACATCATGCTACAGCCAAAGGAAAAAGATTCCAAGAACCCAGATCCATTTTCATCAGACAATATGTTGTGAATTTGGAGCAATCTGAAGAGGCAGCATATTGATAATTGCACAAAAATTTGCTTCGGATTGTACGAATGTTACGAATAACTGAGTCATTAGTATACTTCTCCATCCCTACTTAACTGCTTCTTTTCTCTTGTGCTGAAAACTGACCTTGTTATTTTTGTTTCTTTAATCACTGTCAATCTCCAAACCCTCCCTTAGATTTAGAGATCCACTCCCCCACCCCCAAACACACATAGGACAGCAGTAGTCTCAGTTCTAATTCTGGCAACATTCAGTGCCAACCTCCAGTTAGGTCAGAGTGGCAGCAGAGTCCAGGGTCATCCGTTTGAGGTCATCATTTTGCATCTTCAGCAAGTGATTAAAAAATGGCTCCACAGTGGCCTGGGGCCAATTTACAATTCACAGAGGCCACTGGGGCCTTTTTTCTGCCCTTTCCTTTCCTCCCCCTAAAGGTGATGTCACAAGGGCTATGTGTGCTCTGTCAAACACAGCTCTCCTGACTTCTGTCTTACATGTTAATTGTTTTCAATCAACACAATTGCAATAAGGTTGACAGATACCAGCACACTGAATGAATGACAAGGAGAAGAACAATTATGACTGTTCAGACCCCAGCCACCAACTTTTGAAAAAAATCCCTTGACCTTTTCTGAATTTCTCCATGAACCATTCTTTTTTTTTTTAACTAAACTTCAAACTTCCTAAGTATTATCATTCCAGATAAATTATGTCTTAATAAGTTGTATTGATTTTCTCTTTTAATTACTAGTATCATAGCTGAAAACCATTCCTTAAAAAAGTATATGATTTCAACTATCATAAAATTCATATAATTTCCTTTTTTCTTTCTTTTTGGAGGTCTGATCTTATTATTTGTTACACTTAAACATTCTTATTTTGAGAGGGGAGTATAGGGGATTGAATTCAGGGGCACTTGGCCACTGAGCCACATCCCCAGCCTTATTTTTAATTTTATTTAGAATCAGGGTCTCACTGAGTTGCTTAGTGCCTCCCTTTTGCTGAGGCTGGCTTTGAACTTCAGATCCTCTTGCCTCAGCCTCCTGAGGCACTGGGATTACAGGTGTGTGCCTCTGCACCTAGCTAAAAATTCTTAGTTTGAATGGACTCAAACTTAAAAGTGGAAGTGCTCAGTGAGGACAGCCTGTGTCTCTTGGCGATCTGTTCCTGGCATTTTTCTTAGGCTTCTTTCATTCTCTTGGTCAAAAGTTCAGCATATTCTGCCACATCTTCCTTATTCTTCTTAGTACGCTGTTTTTCTTCAGAGCAATACACCAGCATCTGTGTTGCAGGACACATGGGGTAATAAGATGCTGAATCTTCAATTGATCCCTAGTTTCTTGCCTTCCTTGTTTAAGGATTTCTGACAACATATTGGCAGATGTCATTGTCTTAAGAGAGATTGAAAATTTGCAGATTTTACTAGCTCTTTTGAGTCCCAGGCAATGAAGCAAAATAGTACCCATAAGTCCAGGAATATCCTTCTCTCTCTCTCTCTCTCTCTCTCTCTCTCTCTCTCTCTCTCTCTCTCCCCTCCTCATTATTTTTTTACAATAACCAAGTTAAGGAATGCTCAGATTGGTATCCACAATGCAACCCCAAATAGATTTGTTCTTTCTCTCTACAGTTCTTGGTAACAGCAGTGTCCCTTACGAAGTAGCAGGCGAACATAGCAATGGGTCAAGACACACTGCTTCTTGAAAAGACCTTGTGTGTTGTTCCTGCCCCTGATTTGGACCACAGAACCCTTCCATTCTTCACCCAGAGCATCAGCAGCAATTTCTGTGGCCATATGCTTCTCTTAAAAAGTATGAAGTTTTCATTCATCATCCACTTCAATGAGTTTCTGGCAGTCAGTGGTTGGGAAGGAAATATTCAGTGTCACTCAGAATTCATATAATTTCAACAAAACAAAAACCTATAGCCAGGCTGACTCTTTCTAGTACTTAGGATCTCTCTCTCTCTCTCTCTCTCTCTCTCACTTAGGATTGAACCCAGGGATACTTAACCAGTGAACCACATCTACAGCCCTTTTTTATATGTTATTTAGAGACAGGATCACACTGAGGGTCTTGCTAAGTTGCTGAGGCCAGTTTTGATCTTGCCATCCTCCTGTTTCAGCCTCCCAAGTTGCTTACAGGCGTGGATCACCATGCCCGGCGGAGCCCAGTACAAACATTTTTCACTGGCCTTGTGCAGGACACTGAGTGGCCCTGACAGATGAAGCACATGATTTTAGAGTAGTTTTTTCAAAAATCTAAGTAGATTGCTTTCAAAGGTAGATTAATGGGGCTAGGGCTCAGTGGAGAGCACTTAGCTGGCACATGTGAGGCACTGGGTTTGATCCTCAGCACCACATTAAAAAAAAGTAAATAAAATAAAGTTATTGTGCCCGTCTACAACCTAAAAAAAAAAAAGGCTGATTAACAGGAGAAAAAAATATGAATTTATTTAATGTTTTAGGTGACACAGGAACCTCCAGAAAAAAGGTAGATTTTCTTTGTTTTTTTTTTTTTTTTTTACATCTTTTGAGGATCAAATAACTTTAGGATTCAAAGTGTGAAAGCCATAAATATATCTTCGAATGAGTAAATTGCAAATTGCTGCACAGGAAAGCCGTTCAAACCTGAAATATTAAAGAAATTCACTGTTTCCTTAAGAAAGGTGGGGGGAGGAATTTGGCTTTAGTTGGTATTTTTTGAATGAATGGATTTTCCAGATAGACCAAAAAAAAAAAAACAAAAAAAAACAAGTTTTGTACAACTAGTATAGAAAGGGAAGGAATAAAATGAGTTGCAAAAGGCCAATGTTCAGATGATGGCAAATCCAGGGCTCTAAGCTTTCATTAGAGGCTTAAGTACTTGGACTATTTGAAGTTGTATTTAAAGAAAAAGAAAATGGTAACCAAAGTATTTTAAGTGGAGAAAAATAAGTCTGAACTTACCACAAATTAGATTCCAGAATGATTAAAACTTGAATGTAAAATAAAACAAATACTTAAAAATGGAAGAACAAAGTGTAGTGCATGCTTATTAGTCTTAAGTGAGAGAAACCTTGCTAAGCTAAACATTTCTGAAGTGGAAAAGCATCCACAATAAGACTGACACTTCAGGGGGAGGGACAGTGTCTGTTATGTACCCAGATGTTCATTGTAATATTATTTATAACCAGAAACTAATACATGTCCTCAAATAGGAAGGGTGAAACAAGTGTGGCCTACTCTACACTTGCTATTATGTTGCCATCGTAATTGAAGGGGATCTTTGGGGAATGGAGTGATAATCAAGACAGGCACATTCTGCCCTCTGGGAGCTGATGTTCTACTGGGGAAGACTGATAATAACTAGCAGATATGTAAGACAATTCCAGATGTGGCATGTCACAGAGGTCTGTGGTAGAGGATCACAAGTGGGTCAAAGAGGGCTATTCAGAAGGGGCATACACGGAAGGACTGTCCCAGGAGGTGGCATTTGAAGGGAAACATGACTCATGAGAGGGAGCCAGCAAAATAAACAGCCAGGGACACATATTCCAGGCATATGGAACAGCAATTTCTAAGATGCTGGAGTCTTCTGCGGGAGGGATGGGATGGAAGGTGTGTGACTGGAGCAGGGAGCCAGGGGGAAATTGGAACTCCAAGGAAGGGGGAAGTGAGCGAGGCCAAACCTCAAGGCCTCGTGGGCTGTGGGTGGAACTTGGATTGTGTTCTCAGAGCAGAATGCTCCAGAGAAGATGCAGGGGAGTGTCTCTTAGTCTAGGAGTTGCTGAAGGCCTCCAGGACAGGGTGACAGGGACGCTACTTTAACCCATGTTCAGTAAACAAGTCTGACATAGAATGATGTCAACTCTATCATTTCTACTATAGGAAAAAATGACTAAAAGAAACCAAGTTTGTAGGTGAACAATAAAAAGGTGACAGTGATTGCTTCCAGGTCGTAGGATCACACATGATTTCTACTTATTTCTGGTATGCTTTTCTGTATATAAAATACTAGAGGCGATTTCAGAACCTGAATTTGTATCAGTCACAGTACTTAGTTGCAGAATTCCCTCTTTCTGCCTTGAGTTGAGGGTGATTTTTTCCTGGGTGTTAGGATTGAGATTCCAGGACTATAGAGAGCAAGCTTGGATGCCCTACAGATGGGAGCAACTTGGCCTGGACCATTTCCTCAGCCCATCCCAGACCATCCAGTTTGCCACAGGCACTACCCCATCTCTGCGCCTCTAGGGTGCTGATTCTACCATGGGAAGCCCATGTGCCAGGCACCCGGACAAACTCCCTAGGCTCCCTCAGAAGGAGCAGACATAGATCCCCCCATGAAGGCCTCGTGGCCCAACTGGGAAGATGAACAGAGACCTAACTAAGAACCATCACACGTTCAAAGGTACAGAAGAGGGACACACCCACCCACACCTGCAGGTATCAGCACAGCTTCTGAAGGAGGAGGATCTAGGCCCAGGATGACCCCAGGGAATGAAAAAAGTCACTCTGGGCAGAGGGAGGCAGAGACAGGAAACAGGGACAGAGGTACGGACGGCTGGAGTGGGGTGGAGTAGCTTCTTGTTTCCAGGACAGTCCCACCAGCCCTCTTGGCTTGAAATCTCCAAACGGAAACATCCCACAGTTCTGTTCCTCTGACAGGAGGACTGCAACCAGTGAGCTTCCTCAAAGTCCTCAGGCCTCCCCACCCCATCTCTCCTGGCAAGTCACATATTGGTCCTAAGGTCCTGCTCCTCTCTTCTTAGCCTGGGTGATACTGAGTTCCCAGAGTCAGTACGTCCCACACTGAGGCCAGCCCTTGTCCCAGGACTGTCTCCTCCCCGTGTC